GTCAAAACTCCTACTATCCTAAATGAAGAACTAAGATGGTCCAGAGAGCTTTATATCAGCAATAACATGGGGAAGCTACTGCATATTTGCATAGAGAAGAAGGAACGAATTTGAACTTTATTTCATCCTCTAAACCATAACAGAAGTATTTAAAGATAGGTAGGTATACCACCATTGCATGGGAGAATTAAGTTCTTATCCTAGATTAGAGCTCATTCACAAATAACTAAGCTACATAATAATTCCTTGACAAACGCTTTGTTAAGAACAATTTTTCATAACCACGTAACATTAAAAAAGTAGATACATGTTGATTTGTAGAATTTTTTTTAATCAATTAATAAATTTTACTAATAATGTGTACAAAGATACTCCAACCCTTACATTAAATTAATTATTAAATTTAATTCCATGAAATTCTCCTTACCTTTAATTAAGCACAACAATTATCTGAGAAGTGAAAAATAAATCTAATAAAAACTATGGTTATGTCAATGTTGTGACTAAATTTATTTTTAGGAAATGTCAACTAAATTCTATAGTCGTACAAATTAATTTTAGGTAGGGAAAATGAGAATATTTTGGCTTGACGCACACGAAAAAATAAATGCTGGAAATGAACCAAAGGAAAAAGAAGAGAAATTAAATAGAAGTGGGTATCAAACATGGTAGCCATTGGTGCTCCCTCAAGCCTAAGATATTGCTTCTTCATTTATCAAAAAATTTCCATCACTATTTTTGAAAATTATTTGTGAAGAAGAGAATTTGGCACAAAAGTACGAATGCCTTCTTGACATGGCACTTTTGTTATCAGTTTAGCTAAACTAGAACTACATTCATTCTTGCCCTATTGTTGCAGAATGAAAAGATAACAACAAACCAACATAGTAAGAGAAGCAAGAGGCAACAATATAGAGAGTAGTAATTAGTAGCAGTCGTCTAAAGAAAATCAGAATTATATAAAACTAACTAAATTAAGGTTGGGGTTGATAATAGAGGATTCTTCTAAAGACAGTCAAGTAGGTCTGCAATTAGATATGTAAGTGTAGAAGGGAGAAACAAGGGAGATTTCCAGTAGATGTTTAGAATCAAGTTTTCATTTTCAGGCTTGAAAAGAATTTGAACTTTATTTTATTAATCCAATAATATTCTGCTCCCACTTCCCAAAATAATATATACCAACCTAATTGTTACATACACACTATTACAATAATGGCAGTAAAAAAAATAGCATCAATAGAGGATACAAATGAGAGGGTCTTCTAATTGTTGATGTGTTAAAATAGATGGAGTCATTGTTTATTCATAGAACATCTAAGTCTGTGTAAAAATTAATTAGAATCAAAAGGTCAATTAAACAGGTGAAAAGTATTAGGCATCCCTACAACTTCTAGACAGTTATTACATTTAATTTTAAGATATTTCTAAATTTATTCAAAGAAAAAAAAAAAAGCTTAAAGACTCATTTTAATAGGAAAGGAACAGCCGTTGTCCTTGCACAATTAAAGAGATGAACCAAAAACGATTTACAATCAAATAGAAAATGTAATCAATTTAATAAAATATATATAGAATAAAATGCCAATTATTTCCTTTTTCTAGATGATCACATGCCTTATCTTTTGCAAATCTTCATTGCTACATATCCAAACATTCAAAAAAAAG